TTGTTTGGTTTGTTTGTTTTGTTTTGAATTTCGCGCAAAGCTACACGAGGGCTATCTGCGCTAGCCGTCCCAAATTTAGCAGTGTAAGATTAGAGGAAAGGCTGCTAGTCATCACCACCCACCGCCAACTCTTGGGCTACTCTTTTACCAACGAATAGTGGGATTGAACGTCACATTATAACGCCCCCACGGCTGAAAGGGCGAGCATGTTTGGTGTGACGGGGATTCGAACCCGCGACCTTCATATTGCGAGTCGAGCGCCCTAACCACCTGGCTATGCACATAATAGGTATGTGTGTGTGTGTGTGTGGGGGGTCCTTCGTGTTTTGGGGGTCTCGGGTTTGATTCCTTTTGCCATTAAGTTTAATTAATAACTGTATACTCTAATGTTGTATAAGCAGGCGTGGATCTAGTGGATGCGAACCCTCATACATTTTGTTCAGAAATTATTATTTAATATTGTATAAGAAGGCGATGATTTATGGGTCTAAGGGGATCAGAACCTCTACTCCATTTCTTCCATACATTTTTCTAAGAAATTAATGTTGTACGAGTAGGTACAGGTCTAGTGGGTCCGAACCCGTATATTTTTCAGAAATTAATTAAAAAACAGCTAATAATATCAGAAAGAAATATTTGATGTCAGTGTTTTTATTTGATTGGTTTATTAATTACCGGAAATAATTTATTGTTTAAACGTTATTTTTGCTTTAGTGAAACGCTCCTGAAGAGAGGTGTAAAGTGAAACGTTAAGTGCCCATTTAAGGAAAATAACGTTTATTGTTATAAGGTCGTTTATAGTATTGAAATGTCTTTTATACTCCAATAATGCAATACGAAAATTAAATACGTTGTTTTTCAGAATCGGTAGTGCATATTGAGATGATTTAGACATTCTGACAATGAATTTAGTAAAACGAAACGACCTTTAATCTCCAGATAATAAACTTTTTATTTCAGCCAATGTTTCACCATTGCGGCTTCGTCAGGACTAACAGTACAAGAACTGTTTTTATACCATATACATATCACAAAATCAAATTTTCATTGTTTGGAAGTTATTATACTCGCGAAAATAATGGTTTCGTATTGTTGAAATCCAAAATAAGAGAAAATACAATTGTTAAAAAACTATAAACCGGCACCCTCTTTACGAACGCTAAAATATGAATTTAGGTTTCGATTTAAAATTTTTCTTCTTCTAAATATAAATAAAACTATTCAATTTTAATTAAAACTGAAATGTTTGTCTTTAACTGTATATTTTAATACGAGTCAATAACTAGAAATAAAGATATAAGTTTTAAAATCGTTGGATTATAGCCCAATTGAGCTACTCATAATGAATTTGTGGGCTTTGTAACTGATTTTATTACCGAAATTACTAGTGTGTAGTTATAAGTA